AAGTTCTCTTCGATTTGGGTTTCAGCAAGAAAAGCAGTTTGGAGTTCTTGAACCTGCAAATGTTCCGATAAAGCACTGATTATCAGGGCCCCGAAGTCCTCATGTTCATGAATAGTATCTATACTAACCGGAGAATAGTAAACACTGTAGTCCAGTCACACGGGACTTCGCCAATTCCCTGAGTACAAGTGCATATGCAGAGGTCACCTCTAGCGTAGTACATGTCGTGGTGTCTATCATCTTCTAACTCCAAACCTTCTAGATCCTCCCACCTTCGGGAACCTATCTCGTCTAAGACGAGTACGCACCCTTTTTGCTAAGACACGAGCTGTGAAGCCAGGTCGAGCTGGCATAACTGAGGGGTGAAACTCCTGTACACTGAAACAAGACTACAAAGAGGTCGGGCTCGATCCTCTGGTCTTGCTGGGAAACTTTGTTTCTCCAGTGTGAGTCTTCTAACCTGGCCGAATCTGTTCCAGGGTCTGCGGTCGTAAGATCCGCTCCTGTACATCCGTCGGAATACTGACCGATCAGATATACTTTCTTTGGGGTCACTTTTCTTGATCCCCGGAGCTCACTCCAGAGTAGAGCCTCCTGTACACCTGTGGTGTGAGACTTCTTCTCAAAGAAAGCTCTTTCCTTGGTTCCCATAGTAGGTGAACCAGGAAAAACGTTCGGAAGTGCCATAAATGCGGCATCTTCCGCTTCCGAGGAGATGAACCCGTCGCGTAGTCAGTCGTGGTTCATTCTTATCGGGATAAGGAAGGTTGTGACCCGATACACGGTGTCGCCGAACTCTACGCGAGTCCCTGGCCACAGCCAACGGCTGTGCCATTCCCACTTTGTCTCCTCCGAGCGATGGATGAGGACATTGTGCCACCATCGTGCCATTCCGGTCGGCACGGGCAAGTCAACGTAGTCGCTGTACTGCCTCACCGTACAACGCACTGCTTCCTTCTTCTGGTCTGGACATTGGAGCCACACGTGCACGTGCTTTCGCTGAGTGCGTGGGTCTCCATCGAATATCATGTCCAGATATTCCGGTGTAATTTCACTCGGAAGGTTCGGATCAACCCCCAGGTCTAAAAGATCCTGGCGACACTTGTCGTGTTGGGTGTACAGGTTTGCCAAAGGTTGGCAGTCCCGGCGGATCTGCTGGTGGATCGCCTGTACGCAGCCCCTCCATCAGCTTGTCGGCGGCCCTCAAGGAGTGTTCCAGCTACTCTTTACCAAAAGAGTCTGGGTCCTTATTCTGGAGGTTAAGAACTGCCTTAAGCATGTTCGCCGCCTGAGTACCGTCCACATACCTCTTTGCAATCGCACCCATAAGTGCAATCACACCGGATCGGTACTTTTTCAAAGCTCATCGACCGCCGATAAATCGGTCGGACGAAACACCGCAAACAGTCGGTGGAGAAGAACGTAGGCAATCTTCTCCAACTCTGGGGTGCCGAGGTTGACAAAGTCGGTGAAGTCGTACGAGTCGTCCAGGTCAAGTCCTCGACGAAAAACAGCTCGTCACCGTCGTCGTCCATGTCCACGTCTCGATCCTTCGATGACAGTGCCTTTTGCGGCTTCTTCGAGGAGGATTTCCTCCCTC